TCACACACTACTGTGACAGCCTCGTCACACACTACTGTGACAGCCTCGTCACAAACTACTGTGACAGCCTCGTCACACACTACTGTGACAGCCTTGTCACACACTATTGTGCCAGCCTCGTCACACACTACTGTAACAGCCTCGTCACACACCACTGTGACAGCCTCGTCACACAGTACTGTGACAGCCTCGTAACACACTACTGTGACAGCCTCGTCACACACTACTGTGACAGCCTCGTCACACACTACTGTAACAGCCTCGTCACACTCTACTGTGGCAGCCTCGTCACACACTACTGTGACAGCCTCGTCACACAATACTGTGACAGCCTCGTAACTCACTACTGTGACAGCCTCGTCACAAACTACTGTGACAGCCTCGTCACAAACTACTGAGACCGCCTCGTAACACACTACTGTGGCAGCCTCGTCACAAACTACTGTGACAGCCTCGTCACACACTACTGTGCCAGCCTCGACACACACTACTGTGACAGCCTCGTCACACACTACTGTGACAGCCTCGTCACACACTACTGTGACAGCCTCGTCACACACTACTGTGCCAGCCTCGTCACACACTACTGTAACAGCCTCGTCACACAGTACTGTGACAGCCTCGTAACACACTACTGTGACAGCCTCGTCACACACTACTGTGACAGCCTCGTCACACACTAATGTGACAGCCTCGTCACACACTACTGTGACAGCCTCGTCACACACTACTGTGCCAGCCTCGTCACACACTACTGTGCCAGCCTCGTCACACACTACTGTGACAGCCTCGTCACACACTACTGTGCCAGCCTCGTCACACACTACTGTGCCAGCCTCGTCACACACTACTGTGCCAGCCTCGTCACACACTACTGTAACAGCCTCGTCGCACACTACTGTGCCCGCCTCGTCACACACTACTGTAACAGCCTCGTCACACACTACTGTAACAGCCTCGTCGCACACTACTGTGCCAGCCTCGTCACACACTACTGTAACAGCCTCGTCACACACTACTGTGCCAGCCTCGTCACACACTACTGTGCCAGCCTCGTCACACACTACTGTAACAGCCTCGTCACACACTACTGTAACAGCCTCGTCTAAAGTTTGCGCTCCTTTGATTTTCTGATTATTTTGTCTCACCTACTTCGAATTGTAATACCTCGAAATAACAGAGAAGACCTGCAGTTGGTCGTTAGACTTGCAAGACCTATTGCAGTAGCTCCATGCTCCTGCAAGACCAACGGGGTGTCCCAGCTAGCCTGTTTGGGTGTTTTGTTGGATCTATGTCAGGTGCTGGGGCTGCAAGGGCACGCCACTGATTTGAACATTCAATGAAAGCAGGATCGTGTATCCCCTGCTGAATCACTCAGAGGTTCTTATAGGATATCTCATACAAGGTGTTACCTAACCCGCTACTTGAGGTGTGCTCGTTCCTTCTAGACACTGATAAACTGTCCACCCAGGCCTATCAGATGTCGATCCTGTCTAAAGGTTTGATCCCCCAAAGCCCTATGATTGCAAAATAAGACACCAGTGACTCGTGAGGGGGAACACAAACACCGCTTTAAAACTTAATTGATAATAATTGTATATCTGACATAAATTATTTCTATTTGGGCTTATGATCACACTCGACAATATAAACACAGATATAAATATATATGTATAACCATTATTAGAATGTCAGAAGGATTAACGCAATAAAGCTAAGAACACAATCATACAATACCTGACTGACAATACTTAAGATATAACTCTTAACTAACACACTACATCCGAAAGTAACCGCTCGCAGCCATACACAATCATACTAACATAATATTGCACACAGGCTGGTATAATAACTAAAATCATAAACATTCGTAAATGAAAACATAATTCTGATTTATGAAACATCTCAACACAACACGCGACAAGACTAGCCCTCCTCACAGCAATGATTCGCGTCCAAGACACGTTCACTCCCCAGGCAAGCCCACGACTCCTTGACCCCCTCTCATACCAGCTTACATTACCATATGACTTGTAAGATGCTTGTATGTTCATTACTACTCTAATCAGCATAATCAGGTTAAGCGGGCAGTATTTTATGGAATGTTTCTCAGAGGCCTAAGGGCTTGCAGATTTTTTTTGCAGAAAATCGGGGCAAAGAAGCCCCGATATTTTTTTATAAAGACATACCGCAAATATACGAAACTGGAAAGAAGTTACCATATCCAAAATCATTCTTGAATGTCACGTTTGGGCAAGCTAAAGGGACGTTCTACAAACATACTCCCAAGTCTAAACCAGAACCCAAAAACTCGCTGGTTTTACCGTAATTTGAAGGACTAGCAAAACTTGCCCCAAACCTGAAAAACCTTAATATTAACCCAGTGTTCAAAAATAATAATATGCTTAAGTCCATTTCAATTAAGAACTCGCCCCCTTCTATAGCAGGTTGTGTGCATTTGTGTGCATCCCTTGCAATGAGTGTGCATTTGTTGGCCAAACGGGTAAATCTCATTCCTCACGTTTAAAACAACACTCATACTCTATTTGTACAGCCCAGCGCTCTAGGGCATTGTATTTACATTCGAGTTTATGTGATCATTCAGAGGGGTCAAGTGTATTGCTCCGTGTAAGGGTTTCTTTGAACGAAATGTGATTGAGTCAGCCCTGATCAAACAATGTAACAACAGCCTTAATGTTAGCCCTTGCATGTACAAATTACATCGGCAAATATGCTCCTATATAGCATGTCAGTACAAAGTAGCATCCATTTACCTTGTTATTTTGTTTAGGTTTCCAACCGGCGGCACTTTTGGGGCTTAAACGTCATTCTCCTTTGTTTTTGTTGAGTCCTTGCATGCCACTATGATAGGAAGGAACATTTGTTTTAATTTTTCCTTAGTTTACTCAATTAAATATTCACATCTTTTTCTATTAAGAAAAAGCGTGGCTGAGGTTTTCTGCCAGCACTTGGCTGGAGAGTAGTTGTGGGGTAGAGGCACTTTTTTTTTTTTGAGATATATACAAGAGTTGATACATTCTTGTAGAGCCACTAGTACGCGTAGCGTTTCGGGCAGGTCCCTGGAATACGATCCCCGCCGCGAAGAATCGTTGTTACAACCAAGTACACATTTTACTGTTGAGTTAAACAGAGGCAACAGTTAAGGATTTGCGCCCAGTAAACCCTCCCCGGCCAGGATACGAACCCATGACAAAGCGCTCGTGGAACGCCAGGCGAGTGTCTTACCACTACACCACGGACACTGTTAGCACTGTCAGTAGGCTGGCCCACGGGAAAGGTAAACTCGCCAGTGTTTTCCAGTACTGTAGCCAGTAAGGTTGGGAAAGGTACTGAGTGTAGTGGAAACACTGGGATTGACGGAGGCTGCATTGTGTGAGCGTCTTGGAGTGTTCAGTGTCCTGTGCGAAAGCGACACTTATATATAAGTATAAGTGTAGTAATATCCCATTTGTATATATATATATCTATTTATGGTGAATATATTGGTGAAGGAAACAGTGTTCATTCCCCCTTGTTTTTATTCTTGCATTATCTAGCCAATTCCTTGAAAACCACTACCGACTCGAGGTCGGATACCACGCATAAATTCATCCATCAAGAACCCGGTTACTGGCTCTAAGTGGCCGTAAAACACACACTAAACAAAGAAAAGACCTACTATATTTTATTTGGTAGTAAATCATCAAATCAAATTCAACTTCAGATGGACAATGTTAAGATTAGCAATAAAATCGAGGGAAGTTCCTTGGCTTATACAAAGACAAGAGACAACTTCAGCACCCACATACAACACAGCCAAAAAAGTATAAAAAAACGGTCGGTATACTTTCTAAAATCTGTTATTATGTTCCCAACTCTGCTCTCCTCTCATTTACTACGTGCTAATCTATCCCTATCTTACATACAGTATCTGTTCATGGAGTTCAACTGTAACACCATAAATGGATTTATTTAATATTTTACATAAAACGAGAGTAAAGTCACACAGGATATCGGTGGCGCGAGTTTGTCGGCCCTTAGCAATTAAGAAGTCACACCTTTCAAGATTTAATGTTAACAGGTTGAGTAGGAACAGGTCGTGCGAGGTGACCTTGCTTCTGTTAAGCTGTTAATTGCAGATGGGCGTCTTGTGTTGTTTCCATCAGACAAGCCGCTGTCTAGGTGGTAGGTAGATAGCCAGGGGGGCTATCTCCTTGTAGGTGGACCTTAGCTCCAGGTTCCCCCATAAATATCCGTGGAACTGTACATCTGAGATGGATAGATACAGATTTAGAGAGAGAGAGAAGCCTCGCTACACCAGAGGTTCCAGCAGCCCAGGCCGGGTGGGGACTGTCAGCTGAACCCCCCACCCCCCTCCACCTCTCTTTATCAAACTTAGTCTCAGAGACTTTGGTGAGTGAACTTGTAAAGTGAACTTCTAAGACGTATATTGTGATTTCAACTTAGGTGTTGTGTGAATTTCTGGGGCAGTCAGTCGGTGGTGTTCTCAGTTTCGTGTATGGTGACTCTAGATCTCAATTAATTTGAACATCAAGTGATATGGTTGAATTATGATGACTATTTGATTGAAGGTATAATATGAAATATATAATTCATCAACTTACTTTTTAAATTGCCTTTAATTGTGATCTCTAGATCTTGGATGTTTTATGATATATTGAAAGCTAGAGTGGAGAGTACTCTGAATTGTACATGCTTACAGTTGATACGTGTTAACAGGAGAAAATATTGTTGTACAAACAAGTTCCATTCCTTGTCTTATAAATAACTAACTTGAATGGATAGTGGCAGCAACCTTCTATCTTTCTACTATTCTAACCTACTTTACTTTCTAAGACTTTCCTCTTTAACATACCCAAACTATATTTTCTCTATCCCTATCTTAACTAAGTAGTCTTACTGGGTCGTTATTTAACGGTTCTGTTGTTCACCGTTGTTCCTGTTGCACTGATAACCACCAGTGTTGCCTAGTTCCCTTGATGTTTGATCACCAGGACCACAGGTACAAGGACACTGGGCCTGATCACCAGGACCACAGGTACAAGGACACTGGGCCTGATCACCAGGACCACAGGTACAAGGACACTGGGCCTGATCACCAGGACCACAGGTACAAGGACACTGGGCCTGATCACCAGGACCACAGGTACAAGGACACTGGGCCTGATCACCAGGACCACAGGTACAAGGACACTGGGCCTGATCACCAGGACCACAGGTACAAGGACACTGGGCCTGATCACCAGGACCACAGGTACAAGGACACTGGGCCTGATCACCAGGACCACAGGTACAAGGACACTGGGCCTGATCACCAGGACCACAGGTACAAGGACACTGGGCCTGATCACCAGGACCACAGGTACAAGGACACTGGGCCTGATCACCAGGACCACAGGTACAAGGACACTGGGCCTGATCACCAGGACCACAGGTACAAGGACACTGGGCCTATCAGATACAAGCAACTCACTAAAGAGACTTTAAATGCCGCCGCCACCTTCTACCAATGACGCCAACGTAATTAATCTAAATGACTGTGAGAAGGACCAGTCAAATAGTTTCCCGGATACCAAGAGTGTGTATCCCTAATTCTTAAAAAGGGAGGAGAATGGCAATGTACTTTAGCTGCGGCTTGACTCCAACCAGAGAGGATATACTAAGATGAGAATACTTGGGGGGAACCAACATGAACATTTACACGACACTAGAGTAGGAATCGTGGACTCAGAAATAATAAAATATATAAATGGCGAGAGTTCACTAAACACCATAAAAATTCAATAACTATTTATTACACAACATTTATAAAGAACACTCCCAAACCTGAAATATAACTATCCTACAGGCAAATAGATAAGAATTTAACTTGTACTTGAATTCCAACAAACTTTACCTTAATCCACACAAGGTCCGCCAGATGTTATGGCTCTGAATAGTGACAATCGTGGACTCAAAAATAATAAAGTATATAAATGGGGAGAATTTACTAAACACCATAAAATTCAATAACTATTTATTACACAAAATTTATAAAGACACACAACACGACGACGACTTTGTCGTCCAAAACGAGACGACGACGTTTCGGTCCGTCTTGGACCATTATCAAGCCGATTGTAACAAATGGACTTGATAAATCAATTTGATATATGATCCAGGACGGACCGAAACGTCGTCGCCTCCTCATCTTATGGTGTATGGTTTAGTTCTCATATCTTCAAGCCACGTTATTGTGACTCATCGTCTTTAGAGTACTGTAGTTATAATAATAATAATAATAATAATAATAATAATAATAATAATAATAATAATAATAATAATAATAATTTTATTTGCATGAAGGTACAGTCGGTTGGTGAGATTATATAATATTAGTATTTTTACATTCTTGCAAAGCCACTAACACACAGCGTTTGGGGCAGGTCCTTAGCATAACATATCAGGTAAGATGAAAAGGTACATTGTTACAAAATTTTATATCAACATATAACTACAATATAAATTGACAGATGATTACACCGGTGAAGATATATATCTTAAGTACTAATATTAGGGGAGTGCGTAGCTCAAGATGCAGTGTGAGTTTTAAGTATAAGGTGGAAAACTATGGGGATGAAATTAAATTAGGTACTTTTTGGTTATACTTTTGAATAAGGTATGGTTGGATTTTTTTAATTCATTAGGGAGTGAGTTCCATAGACTTCCTTTTATTTGCATGGAGTGTTTGCACTGATTTAGCTTGACTCTGGGGATATCAATGAGATATTTATTTGTGGTGTTGTGCTCATGGGTTCTATTACACCTATCAAGGCAAAGTTTCAGATCAAGATTAGCATTTAGGAACAAGGTTTTGTACGTGTAAATAGCACAATGAGAATGTGTGTAGTGAGTGTATGTTTAGCATGTTAAGGGGCTTAAACAGAGAGGCTATGTGTTGTCTGACGATATAGTTTTCTTTATAGTTCTGATAGCAGATTTTTGCTGAGTGATAATGGGGCTTAAGGTAATTTGCAGTGGTTGAACCCCATGCACAGATACTGTATGTAAGATAGGAATAGATTAGCATGTAGTATAATGAGAGGAGAGCAGAGTGGGGAACATAATATCTGATTTTAGAAAGTATACTAAATTTGAGTCTCATGTCTATGTATAGGCCGAGGAACTTTCCCTCATTTGTATTGCTAATATTAACATTGTCTATCTGAAGTTGAATTTTATTTGATGATTTACTCCCAAATATAATGTAGTAGGTCTTATCTATGTTTAGTTTAAGTTTGTTGGTTGACATCCATGATTGTACTTTTTATATTCATTATTTACAATATCATTTAGTATGTGGGGGTTGGGATCAGAACAGATGAAGGTCAGCAAATATAGATTTAAGAAAGTTAGAAACGTTTGCAAATTCATTGATGTAGATAAGAAATAGGAGAGGTCCCAAGATGCTGCCCTTGGCACTCCTACTGTTAATGGTAGAGTGGCGGAGGTTATATTATTGATGGCTACATATTGGTGTCTCTTACTGAGATAGGAACGAATATAGTTCAGAGCAAGGCCTCGGATACCATCGTCTTGAGATGATTATCATGAGATGATTTAGGGGCTTAGCGTCCTCACTAAGACGCTAAGCTTAGCGGACTCGCTAAGTCCCTTGTTGGGACTTAATATGTTGAGTTCTACACAGTATGAATAGAGCTGTTTGTAAATTATTTTTTCAAATATTTTTTTAAAGTATAGGTAGATTTGATATTGGAATGTAATTGTTTATGTCAGCTGTCTCGCCTCCTTTATGAACTGGCGTCACTCTTGTTTTCTTAAGGATGTCAGGAAAAGTATGACACTCTTAGATATTTGTTGAACAGCAGAGCAATGTGTAGTGCAAGAGCAGGGGCGGCACTCTTATATACCATAGATGGTATTTCATTAATGTTCCCAGCTTCGGTTTTAAGTGATTGAATTATGGATATAATGTGTGTCGGGCTGACTGGTAAAAGGAGTAGAGAGTTAGGACAGCTGCCGGTGAGATATGTAGTAACATGTGACTGGGTCTCTGGGATTTTTCTGGCAAGGTCAGCACCAATTGATGAACAGAAGCTATTGAATTCGGTTGCAATATCAAAGTTTGTTGCACGTGTGTAACCATCTCTGGAGGGTTTTAATTTTGTTTTATCTGCTTGTTATGTAATTGTTGTTCAGATCCTAGGATGTTAGAGATGGCTTTTAAATTAATGTACTTTTCGTATTTCCTTTTGCTTCTTTAAATCTATTCTCATAAAAGGAAAGTTTGGCTCTTCGTATTATATTGGTAAGCATTGATGAGTATTTATCAACTTCTTTTCTAACTAGGCCAATCCTATGTTTTTTTCATATTCGTGTTTCTTGTTAATTGCTTTTAAGTAAGCCACTTGTGAGCCAGGGGTTGTTTAATCTTTTGGCAGTTACTTGCTACGTGAGGAGAGGACAGTGTATGTTGTAAAGGCATTGAGTTTTGGAGTGAAAGATGTCGGCTAGTGAAGCTATATAAAATAATACTAGTAAGCTAGTATTATTGATGCAGTAATCACAGTAGCAGCAGCAACAGCACTTGCTGTTATAAATCACTGATAAATATAAGATAACACAAAATCTATTTCATAAGTAAAGCCATTCATTCATAATTCTCCACAACTCAAATGTCTAACAAACATTGCACGAACGTTGACAAGATGTACTGAATTGGTTCTCTGAAGGAGCTGATATATCTACCCAATTACGTGAGCTCCTTCCTATTTTTATATCTAACATTTACTTCCAACTTAACAATAAGAATTCAAACAATGACCCAAAATTAATGAAAAATGTGTATATTCACTGACAAGTGTAGGTTTGGTGATGAGTGGGCGGAGCCTGGAGCCGACTTGTGACCGCCCATCACTGCGCCTCCCGCTGCCATTGGTCGGCCGCTCTCTCTTCCCAAGCAATCAGAGCTGCGCACGCTCAGGCTTTATATATTGAGCTTAATCGTCAATATTGAAGCAATTGCCCCATTAAACAGACCTGTAATGTTTCTTAGGTTTATAATCTTGTGAATTAGTGAGTAAGAGACAAAAAGTCAAAGATAAGCAGGAATAATAGCCATAACTGGGGAACATAGGTTTAAGGACTTATGAAACGCTACGCGTACTAGTGGCTGTACAAGAATGTAACAACTCTTGTATAAAACTGAGAAAGGGTATATAGAGCAAGAGTGGAGGCGGCCGCTGATTCATCACTGCTCCGTCAACACCAGTAACGCACCACTACCACAATCCACCACCAGGAAATTAACCATACACGACTCCACCTAAATTCCGCCCAACGAGACATTGGCAAGTTATGAACAGTGAGGCATAATGACGGTGGTGGCGGAAGGGTAGCGAGGGCCAGTATGTCCCCACAAAACCCTCCGCCACAACAAAGAGACATAACTCCACCCCACATTCCATGAAGTCCGCTGGCGTCCGCTCCCGACCTGCTGGCGTCCGCTCCCGACCTGCTGACGTCCACTCCCGACCTGCTGACGTCCGCTCCCGACCTGCTGACGTCCGCTCCCGACCTGTTGGTGTCCGTTCCCGACCTGTTGGCGTCCGCTCCTGACCTGTTGGGGGTCTGTTCCCGACCTGCTGGCGTCCGCTCCCGACCTGTTGGTGTCCGTTCCCGACCTGTTGGCGTCCGCTCCTGACCTGTTGGGGGTCTGTTCCCGACCTGCTGGCGTCCGCTCCCGACCTGTTGGTGTCCGTTCCCGACCTGCTGGCGTCCGCTCCCGACCTGCTGACGTCCACTCCCGACCTGCTGACGTCCGCTCCCGACCTGTTGGTGTCCGTTCCCGACCTGTTGGCGTCCGCTCCTGACCTGTTGGGGTCTGTTCCCGACCTGTTGGGGTCTGTTCCCGACCTGTTGGCGTCCGCTCCTGACTTGCTGGCCTCCACTCCTGGTCTGTTTTAGCTTGGTCCTGACCTTAAGACCTATGAACCATGGGAGGATTATTAGGCCACTACAATAACTTGCTAACCAACTAGCAAGTTCACTTTAATTTTGAACATAATCCACGACTAGAGGTAAGACTGAGCGTATATACGCCGAGATGAAGGGTATAATTGTCGGTGTATATATGACTGTTGTCCCCGGCCAGGTGGCGGCCGCTCTCGGCAGATGCGCCTGTTTGATGACTAGAATATTGTTTGCTAGTCAATAATTGTTAGTTTTAGTAAGTCTGCAGACGAGGAGTCACAATATATGGTTTGGTCAACAAATTTCAGTAAGTCTCTTCATGATCATGAATATCCTTCACAAGAGCTGTTTACTATTATTATATTTTATATTATTGAATCTAGACCTATCCGTTAAATAGGAAATTTCTTTGTTTTAATTGTTCAGAAGCTACCTAATCAATGTTTCTAAGAAATATTTGTTTTCAAATGCATGATTTAAAGTTCTAAAGCTCGAGATATCTCCTTGTACACTGTGCTGTACACCATGCTGAGAGAGGGAG